TAGCTATGAATTCAAGAGTAATATTTTAAAAGATATATGAATTAGAAGGAAGATATCGCTCAGATATATAAATAACCTTCAATAGAATAGGCTTTACCTGTCATCTACCAGGTATAAAGATTATTCTAAAATGTGAGAGCATTCAGTTTTGACAAGTGGTGTGATAACAAAACTTGTTTATCCATGAAAATATTGTCACGCACACACAAATTCTGTGGGTGTGTGTGGGTGTGGGAGGGGGGGTTCTATCCTTATTTCTGGAATGTATTTTGACCTTTACTAGAGTATGAAGACAATTAAGATTGTAAGCCTTCCTCACAATGTTACATTTGGGTTTAGACTGAGCAGTCATTAAATGTATAGGAAATAGGCCACAATTTGTAAGTCACTACAGGTTAGTAACATGAGCTGTTAATGTAGATAGAAACAGTTGGAAATATAACCTACCTGTCAGTCACCACACCATGATCATGACATGAAATGTAGTATGGTTAATGAATTTTACCTGTTTGTCCTGCCAGAATATACTTGGGAATATACATTTTAGCCTAAATTCCAAGATTTGACTATTATCTGTAATTTATGAGGTAGAATCCTCATTAAGGGGAGTGAATAGAAAAAAAAGATAGACTATGTTCACTTTTTGGACTCCTTCACAAAAGTGTAACTCATCTTAAAATTGGTTTATTATGACCAAAATTGAACTCTTTGATGCCATATATGAATCCAATTCAAGAGTCCTCTCATGTGTTATTGCCCCAAAACCTATATATGTGATGTCAGAATGTGAAACAAAATATAGGTATCTTGAAAAACAGTTCAAAGTTATACAGAAAAAAAAATAAAATTTACTTTTGCCAGAACTACTAACCCAAGGCCAGTTTATTATGACAACCTAATAAGTTTTAGTTATATGACTTTGTTACCACCCAGAGTAGACCTTTGTGAATCTAATAAATGGAGGAAAGTACTGATATACATATATCCACAGGCCTTCATGGAACTTCAGGGAAAGATGCAGGAAACCAACCAAAAATTAAGAATTGCTGATGTACAAGTAGAAAGTCTCAAAAAACAGATTGTTCATGCTCAACTCACAGACAAGGAAATACAGGTGAGTATTTTTACTAGATTTTTGTAGACTGAACCTTTTGCTTATCCTAGCTTTACCATTATTATGAGTGATATTAATATATTTTTCTCCCCTCATTTTGTCAAACATTTGTTACATTAGTTTGAGACATAATTTTTGAGGGTTTCATTTATTGTAATGTACCACATGTTTAGTAAATGTACTGTGCTATTTTCTGTCATAGTTTAATAACAATTTTTATTTACCTTTCAGAGTCTGGGCGATAGCACAAGAGTGTACGATAGTGTGGGTAGAATGTTTCTTTTGACAGATATCCCACAGATTCGAGAAAATTTGAAAGCTAAAGTTGAAAAGTGTAATGAGAAAATCACCAGCTTACAGGTGCGTTTCTTGATAAAAAAGAAAATTCTTCCTAAGGATAAAAATTTTGTTTTGCTTTTTGTCCCAAAATTCCATCACAAGTTACCTTCATTTGAAAGTAGATATTTGTGGTTTGTTCAGAATTGCTACTTTAACTGTCATATCTGCAAGTATATATGTATTCAGCTAGATTGTCTTTCATATTCTTTTTTATGGCATATCAGTAATACTTTTTTTACTTCCTTTCAACAGGCAAACAAGGAATACTTGGAGCGCAGTATGTCAGAGAGCCAAAATAACTTGAGAGAAATGATAAAACTCAAGCAGTCCATGGGTGTGGCTTAGAAGGCTGGCGTGGGTCTTATTTTCTTTATAAAAATCATCATTAATCTCAACCAATTATTCCAATGCATTGTAATCATTTGGCAGTGACAATAATTGTGGAAAATTTCAGAAAAATATGGCTTTGAAAATCCGTAAATTCTTTTCTCCTCTCGTGATGTGGATATAAGTTTGATTGAACTGTCATAAGCACTATACCTATTGAAAATCACTTCAGAAATTTGTGTGTAAAAGATCCTCTTCTGAATACTTTTACTCCAAATACTAGATTATTTGTTTTATTTCCCTTTTATGTGGAAAATGAAATGAAGGCATTTCAGAACCCATTGATGGTTTTTAGATGTTCCTTACTAATGTAATAAAGATTCGAGATTGGTAAGAAAATATTTACACGTGGAATGGAAGTCCCCATATTAACCAGACTGAAAAAGCTTTTACAAAAAAGAAGAAGAAGAAGAAAAAAAAAAAAAAAAAATGGTTTCGAACAATGGTCATGCACTTGGTTTCACTTTACCCGAGTTAATTATATGCAAATACAATGTTTACGCAGTAGCACTGAACTACAGAGTGAGCAAATTAGCCTTAGCTTTTAGTATGCAAATGATGTAAAAAAAATCAGATTAATTGAAAGTTCACTTTCTGAGATGAATTCAAAGGCAGTAACTCTTGACCTTAGCTTTTAGTATGAAAGTTCACTTTTTGAGATGAATTAAAAGGCAGTTACTCTTGAGTGAAATAGAAAATCAATATTGTAAGCCTCATTGTTCAATAGGAAGAGGGTCCTCTTCATACTCGATGCAACTGAAGGTATCTTATTGAAAATTTTCTAAAAGTTTTAAAGTTTCAAATTGTCTTTGAATACTTTATCCTTATGCAGAAAACTCATTGCCTATTCTGGCCACACATTACTCATCAGTCTTTTTAACTGCCCATTACTTATACCTCTACCATCCTTCAGAGGGGTAAGTGTGGATATACTTGGACTGATTAAGAAATTGATATAAATAATAGAAGGTAAATATAGAAATGTGCTTTTAAGGTAAACTAATACTCGGTGGCAGATTAAAGGGGAAGGAAAGCCATTGTGTGATAAATTCCACCACCACAGCAAAGTACTAGCAGATCCACAGAAATGTGATTAGTTTATGTAAATACAGTTGTCCCAATTTTGAAAATATAACGGTTGATATAATATAATCACACTACATTCCCCACGTAACTGTTGTTGCTGTAGCCTTGTCACAGTTCCAAGTTTCAATCTCGTGCATTATCTACTCTGCCTGATCTCACTGGCAACCCTATTCCTGCCCAGTCTCTTCCTGCCCTTAATACTTGTACTGGACTTGTTTCCATCTCCCAGACAAACTGACCCTTCTACTACTTCCTCTGCTCATCAGATGTCTGTCTATATTTCTCTTCCTCATAAGAAAATCTTTGTTTCTCAGATCTGCCTACCCATCTTTCCTCCAGAAACTCTTGATGACATTGAAAACTTCTTAAGCATTACCTAAGAAAATGCTCCTCTCCCTTATCCACCCTCAAATCTTTCTACTCCCATTCCCTCCTACATTCAAAGTGATTTCTGACATCCATTCTCATTTCTGCCTATCCTTCCCACTCCCTCCCAACACATCCCATCCTCCCCTTCTCCATCTGCATCCCCACTCCCTTCTTTCCTTGTTGTCCCTCCTATATGCCCTACATTCAATGTCCTTCTTTCTGTCCCACATATCCTACTATCCTGTCCTCGCTTTGCCAAAGACCGTACCCTTACTTTCCCTCATATCCCTTCTTCCACAAACCCCCAACTTGTCAGACATCCTCACAGAATCCCCTACCTTTTCAATTGGTAACCTATTCTCCTTCCTCAGATGCATAAATATCCTTCATTTGATCTAATCATCCTTTGTCCTTCACCCTTCCACTTTTCATCAACACCTATCCTACCCCATCTACTTCCTCTTTCTACTCCTTTAACCCAGTAACGACGGGTTTCCCACATATTAGACACAGACCAAAAAACTTTTTAAAAAATCCCACAATACAGTACCACAGCGCTATATGACCTTTGATGTCTAGCACATTTATTTTGTTTTCATTATTACTTCCTGTTGTCCGTTTTCCGTGCTGGATGCTTATGTGACTTTATTTTGTCACAACAGAGTCCTTACCTGGATCCTTCCCCTCCCAAAAAATCACCTCCTTACCCTAATGCCATATCTCATTCCCTGGATTCTTTTCTTCCTATTTCTTTGACACCCATTTCTACCCTTATTAGCCATTGATTGGTTTGTGATGGCTCTTCTGCACTATGGTCGTCATGCATTGTTTCTCTTGGCCCCATGCATTTTGTTCTCCTATTCTTGCCTTACTGCAGGCCTTGTCCTCTCTTCACAGAACCCCCAACTTGATGGACATCCTTATGGAATTCCCCTTTATTCCTTTGGCAATTCCTACCTCAGACCCATAAATATTCTCTATTTGTTCTAAGTGCCTTGTATGACACTGATGTCTAACACATTTCGTTTTAATTATAAACAAAATTTTTACCCTTAGACTATATTTCTCGATTACAACTGATATCACGGTATATCAATTGTTTAGAGTATAAGTGCTTGGATAATCCCTCTGAAATGTTAAATATCCCAAGATTTGCACATTCAAAAACCTCTACCTTCAATCTGTCTGTCTATGCATGTATATATGATTTACTCACTCATTCCCTCACTCACACTGATTAGGTTTGAGTATGCTTACACATTATATGTATGAATGTATGTTACTATATTTCACAGTATAAAGTCACTGGCTCGCAAGATGAATTTGGTATTTTTAAGTTTCCTCTCGGAACGACCTACTACTTACCCTTAAAGAGGTGTTCACAATCTCTGGTACATGTACCACCTTAAGTACATGTGCACTGTTCAGTGGTACAAATGTGCCTCAATGAATATGTGAATGATAGGCCCATAAAAGTAACCCTGTTTGCTTATCTGTTTTTAGACAATCCGTCACTTTTAACTTTTCTTCGACTTCTTTCTTTAATTTAATTATACAAACAATACTGTAGAATCAATTTCCTCATTTAGTATGATGGTATGTCTGAGGAGTAATCACATTCAGTGTACTTTTAAAGTAAAATTAGAGTTTGATGCTGAACCATCAAGAATGTTTACTACTGTATAGCTAGGATCATCAAGTGGCTTTGTGTTTTGAAGTGCCTTTGTGTTTTGTTACTCCATTATGTTATTAATATAATTAATTTGTTATTATAAATTGAATTGATACATATTGTTACTACCTTAACCATTCGTAGCAGCTGTTATTTAGTTATAATCTGCTAGCAGCAACCTAAGGGTCTCCAAACATGTGGGTTCAGGACATGCCACTGTCTAGGGATAAGGTGGGCTTCCACTCAGGGTAACAGTCTTGCTCTTCTTTTTTTTTTTTTTTTTCATAGGACGTCTTCTGTAGCGTCCCTAACTCTTAATACCGTATTCAGTTTAATCCTAATCCGCCGTGTCCCTATCGAAGACGACACTCTCCGCTGCCAGACGGCGCAACATTAATGTTCAGTAAAAACTGTCGTACTCACTATTCTATCACCACCGTTATCATGTAAACATGTCGGAGAGAAGAGAAATGTCGCGCGTGAAATTCGCTCTTATGGGAGATTTCACGTTTTATTTTTCTTTCTTTCTTTTTGTAATGTCATGTTTTTGGTAATTATATTTAAGAAACTATTTAAGACATCTCTTAGGTTTCAAAATATATATTATATTTAATGTGTATTTCATGAAACTGAGACTCTTACTAAAGTTTTCATAATGCTAATTATCTTGTGCCTTTTTTATCTCTCCACTGCTTTGCCTCCTAATTGTTTAAAGTGTTCTGTAAATAATAATATAACCTCAGATGCTTCTGAAGACCACCTTTTCCTTCCCATCATCCCAGACGTACCTACATGATTGAAGGCAAGGCATTAAAAAAATCTTCATCTTATTAATCAATTCTTTATGCCTCCCAATGTTCCCAAAATTAAAAACTATGGCTAGCATCATATCAAAGTAAGAAAGTTCGTACCTCTATTTTCTGTACACATTTCTTCAAGATTATCTGTTTCAAATATTTGTTTGGAATCTTAAGTTAATGGACTGTCTCTTTAAATTTCTATCAATTCTTGTGATGTTCCTGGTCTGTGATATAGGGCGTCTTCAGTACGTGCCATAAAAGTTAATCCAGTATTAAAGTTTAATCCAGATCTCTAATGCGCATGCGCGTTGGCAGCGTCCAGGATCAACTTTTAATGCACCTCTAGACCAGGCTTAAATATTGAAGCTCATTTTTTAATCCTGCACATGCGCAGAAGGGACACGTTAATCCTACTAATCATGTACTGTTACGTCACGTGTCCGTCATGAACTTCATGGGTGCCATCGCTTGAGTTGTCATTCAGAGTTATTTTCGGCAATAACATCATCATCTTCATCAAGGGGGCTGACGCCGAAAGGGGCGCATAGCCGCATCCATCCTTCGCTTCCACCTACGAGGATACCTCATGGCTAGACGCCAGGCAGGGACTCGGCCCATCTCGAGTTCTTCACGGCAGGTTTGGTTGATCTGCCCAAGCCACGACTTCCTAGGTCGTCCCACAGGCCTCCTCCACCCAGGGTTGTCTCGAACAGAGACAACCTCATGGGCAGGATCATCCTGAGGAAAGCGAGCCAGGTGGCCATATAGCCTGAGTTGGCGATCACGGATTGTGCAGATAACAGGTCCTGTGCCAGTCTCACGGTGCAACCGTTGGTTGGATACATGGTCCCGCCAACAGTACCCCATGATCCGGCGCAAGGACCTATTACAAAAGGCTTCAAGACGAGCCTCCAAGGCACAGGATAATGTCCATGTTTCGCTACCGTATAGCAAAACTGGCATTATCAGGGCCTTGAAAACCCGTAACTTGGTCCTTCTGCACAGGTACCGACATCTCCAAATACTCTTGTCGAGAGAGTTCATGACCCCTGCTGCCAGGCCAATCCGTCTGTTGACTTCATGGTCTGACAGCCCAGAGATATGAACTACACTACCAAGGTATGTAAAGCTCTCTGTGACTTCAATGTCCTCGCCGCAAGCACGTACCGACTGAACAGGTTCTCCTAGCAAGTCCCCAAAGTCCTGGACTTTGGTCTTGGTCCAGGAGACCTCTAGACCCAAGGGTTTCGCTTCATTGCTAAATGCATCCAGAGCCACCACTAGGGTTTCCAGAGACCACAATGACTTTCAACAGTACCTCTGCCCAGTATCCAGTCCATGCAAGTGTTGAAAAGAGTTGGCGCAAGGACACAGCCTTGCCTCACTCCTGAACTAACAGGAAAGAAGCTCGACAGGCCCCCACCACACTTTCCAGCACTTTCAGTACCAGTATACAGGCTTGCTATTAGTCCAATAATCCTTGTTGGAATTCCAATTTCTCAGGATCTCCCAAAGTGACTCCCGATGAACCGTATCGAACGCCTTCTTGAGGTCGATGTAGGCTGCAAGCAGCCCACGCCCGAACTCTCGACGGCGCTCTACAATGACTCGAAGCGCGAAGATACGGTCTATTGTGGGCTTACCAGGAGTGAATCCGGATTGCTCCAGTCTCTGGTGCCTCAGTAGATGGTCTCTCATACGTCTCAGAAGGATGTGGGCGAGGACCTTGCCTGGTATACTGAGCAGTGTGATGCCTCGGTGATTCCTGCAGTCCCAACGGTCCCCCTTCCCCTTCCAGAGAGGGATGACCACACCCCTCAACAGGCCAGGAGGAACGGTACCGGACCGCCAGATGGCAGCCAGGACAGCATGTAACCCCCGCGCCATAGGTTCACTACCAGCCTTTAACAGTTCAGCTGGTATGCCACAGATACCTGCTGCTTTACCACTCTTCAGCTTGGAGATCGCCCCTCTAACTTCAGTTAGGGAGGAAGGGTCCTCACTGATGGGTGGATCTGGCAACGGGCTCTCGACACTACCCGCATCCAAGTCAACTGTTGGTGGGTCAACCTGGTACAACTGCTCAAGATACTCAGCCCAACGTTCCCGCACCGCAACAGGATCTGAAACGATCTGACCACTTACTGAGCGAACTGCTGTCACCTGTGAAGAGGGCTTGGAGTTCATCTTTCTCAGGGAGGGTATGCAGGACGAAGGTCATTTACTAAGAAATGGCCTTCTACCTCCTCTGCAAGACTCCCAATAAACTGTTCCTTGTCCCTTCTTAACAGAGACCGAGTTCTGCACACATGAGAACGTTGCAATTCCCGATCCCCTGTCAGACGAGCCGCACGACATGCATCTGTGGCTTCCAGTGTCTCCTGTGAGATGGAATTCTGTATTGCTCTCGGGCGTACACCAATCGTAACTTGAGCTGCATCAAGCGTTTCACGCTTGAAGGTATCCCACAGAAGAACAGGGTCTGTCAGACTGTCGAGCATTGTGAAACGATCAGATTGCCTCAGCAAATCCGCGGCCACACTCCCCTTCCCTCAGCCTGTCCAAATGAAACACCCTAGGGTGATCATTTGACCGCTGGGGAGTTTTGAAGTGGACCCGGAGGGTAGCCACAACTAATCTATGGTCAGTACTACAGAACTCAGCACTCCTGTACAAGGTCTATATAAGTACTTATATAGAGCTTGCTCTTCTACACCCTGCAATTCTGGAGGATCCTCCAACGAGTGCTAACGAGTATGTGATCGATCTCCTTGGCTGCATTACCCGCATCACTGTATCATGTCCAGCGATGTGGGTCTGGGCGCTGGTACCAGGAGCCAGAAATCCTCAATTTCTGGGACCTAGCAAAGTCCCGGAAAAGGAGGCTAATCTCACTACCAGCATCAGCTCCTGAACCATGGGGACCGACACAGCCAGATACCGCATTGAAGTCACCCAGAACAATGCGAATATCTCGCCGGAGACATGTGTCTACCACAGATGTAAGTTTGGCATAGAACATCTCTTTCACGTCAAGTTTACAAACATCGGTAGGAGCGTACACAGCAAAAAGAGACATGAAGCCAAAAGATAGCTTCAATCTCAATACCATTATACGCTCATCAACAGGAGTAACCTCTACTGCCGAGGGCTGGAGTCTGCTGGAGATGGCAATGGCTACTCCCTGGAGATGGTGGCCGTCGCTGCAGCCCGACCAGTAATAGGTGTAGCCACCTACACTGGTCACCTCTGAGAGGGCATCCACCTCAACTTTCAGCCTCCCCAGCTCCCTCGACAGTAGAGGCAACCGATCATCCTGACGCAAAGAACGGACGTTCCAAGCCCCCACCCTGACTTCCCGCCTGAGGTTCAGCCTCTGGCAATCACTCCGGGTGGATGCCACCTCTGCACCATATAAAAAGGGGTGGCAGGCTGCGTGCCCCATCATCCACCTGTGGGGTTCCCGAGGACTTTCCCTCACAAGCTTCACTCTGGGCTGGCGGCCACCAGAGCGCAGGCGAGACGAGTAGTTCCCGTTCCCAGCCTGCACTCCAGCAGTCACCCTCCCAGCAGGGCCCACAGTCCGCCTCACTTGCTGGGTGGGAGGGACTTTTACCCTCCTCCCAGCCTTTCCATTTACATTGAGCACTGCCGATTTGTTTTATCTGGGGGGAGGAGGACTGGCAAGGCCCACCTCCCCCGAGCCTCCCAATAACCCCAGGGGGCTTAGGGGCAGGAGTTGGTACAGGGCCAGGGCGTGTCCACACGACGGTGGGCCATGACCCTGAACCTCTGGGGCCTCCTACTGCTCTGAGATCCCCCTCAGTTTAGCCTGGAACCGCAAGGTACCCAGTTTCCATGGGAGGCCACGAGGAGGCACTGCAGGGAGTCTTGATGAAGAGGCTATGCACTGGCAGGGGAGGCTTATGCAGTGCTGCTCCCTTTTTCACACTAGGCTAGCTAGCGGTGGCAGCTGTAAGTGAGAAGACATGCAAAAGCTCTTAACACTAACTAAAGTACCACTCCATTGCTTCACACCACCCTGCGCATGAAGCACCCACCCACAATAACATCGATCGTCTTAGAATTTCCATACGTAGTATTTATTATGAAAATGAAATTGTATATATTTACACAAATGATCAAATATTCTGATAAAGGAAATAACTTATGGTAATGAATATAAAAACCAATATAATCCTACGAGGAATCTTTGAAGTTCAGAGGCTGCGGGCATGGAACTCATTTTTCCAGGTTAGTGAAACAAAAATTATATGGTCAGGGTCACACAAGTTGAAGTTTTAAGTCAAATATGAGCAAGCGTTTTAAAGGAGAATTATTTACTGAATTTTTCTCAACTACTTTACAACAAAATTAACAAGTATACTTTTCTATGAACCTCCTGAACAGCATCCTGAAGAAAACATGTTTCCCTCCAACACGATTCAACGCAGCAAAGAGCTGTCCGAGGAAACAGCGCAATGGATATTAATTGATGAATGTCATTTTTGTACTTGAGTGTCATTGAAATAAAGATTGGTTTTATAGTTGTTAGAGCAGTTTCGTTACTCATTTTACTACTATAAATATAAGATCGTCATCATGAAAAAATAGAATATTTCATAAATAATCATGTTTCCCTTATAAGTAAGCCTACTTGTGCTTCGTAATTATCATATGAAGATCAAACTGCATCTTGAGTGACTGACTATAACTTTCTATAACAATCACCTTTTCTCCAATCTATAATAAATGAATATCAGTTGTCAGAAAAATCTTTTAACAATGCAGTGTCTGAATGCAAATTGCAAGGTTTATTTATCCAAATAAATTTTATATCGGACTGCAAATCTTTAGGTAATATCTTTAATACTGTCTTCTATATCATATGCGTAGGGACATGAAGGGTGAATGTTGAATAGATATCTTTTGGATGATTTTGTTGCTTATTTACAGGTATGAGTGCATGACTTGCTCTAAACGCTACCCTACACAACATGCAACAGTTATGTGTGAAGAGAACATTGCACAGAAATGTTTCAAAATACCACAGATTGTTCAGCAATAAAAAGACAACATACCTCAGCTCCCACCCTTTAGATTTGCAAAACCTATTCCCACACGGCCAGAAATACGAGACTAGGATCTTCACATTTCTGTGCAATGTTCTCTTCACACATAACTGTTGCATGTTGTGTAGGGTAGTGTTTAGAGCAAGTCATGCACTCATACCTGTAAATAAGCAACAAAATCATCCAAAAGATATCAATTCAACATTCACCCTTCATGTCCCTATGAAGTTCATGACGGACACGTGACGTAACAGTACATGATTGGTGGGATTAACATGTCCCTTCGGCGCATGTGCAGGCTTAAAAAATGAGCTAAATATTAAACCCTGGTCTAGAGGTGCATTAAAAGTTGAACCTGGACGCTGCCAACACTCATGCCTACTAGAGATCTGGATTAAACTTTAATACTGGATTAACTTTTATGGCACGTACAGAAGATGCCCATAGATTATTTTTTCTACAGGTGGTAGGGTAGTGATATACAAAATTATCTTTTGAATTTACTCTCATTCAAGTCTGTAAATGGATACACATATAATACAGCTGCTTCTATATGCAAGATAAATGTGTGATTTATTTAGTATTTAATCAAATAAAGCCAATAAACACTAACAGCAACCAATTCACTATAGCACCAAAAATTAGCTCAATAATAATGGTTACATAACACACCGATACTAGTAATACAACCTGTAACTTTCACAGTTCTTGATTCCCTGAGTCACCTCTAAGCCTTGTTTAAAAAAGAAAGAAAAAAATTGGAAAGGAGAACTGTGGAATAGGGAAAAAAGTATAATAAAGAGTTCAACTTTTTCATATAAATCCAAACTTTATATTCTCTAAATATTTTAGAAGGTTTGACTTGCAGTCATACGAAAATCTTAAAGCAAAGACAAAGTTATTAATCTGTCCTCAGCATAACAGCATAAATTGTAAACATAAAAATGAAAATGCACAATGTTAACTTTTGCATGGTGAAAGAATTATTTATTTTCTGTATCTGATGTGAAGAGAGGCTCCCCTACAACATGCAATTTGTAACCAACTCTCAGCATGAGGCATGTACACAACCAAAACACAAGCCAAGCCAGTTGCTTTGTCACCCACTCAGAAATCCAGTGCTGTAATAGGAATATCAAAAATTAAATAATAATATAACAATACAAGAATTAAAGTAGTTTAAATGTAGTTAAACAGGGTGACAACTGCAGCCTCAGAAATTCAAATAATGCTAGTTATAATATAAATAGATTAACTCACATCACTGAGAAGGTTCAGCAGAGACAATGAGATCTGGAAACCTACAGTACAACTTCTCTGTAATTAGAGGATCACCACCTCTGCTACTTTGAAAGTGGATACAGACTGACTCCAATTAGACAATTTGCCTAAAACAGAAATCTCAACAAATATGCCTATTCTGCTTAAGACTGATATCACAACAAACATATTTTGCAAACATTTAAATGTTAGAGGGAAAATACACAAAACTGCAAATTGCAGGAGTTCAAAAATAATCTTGTAAATTCCTTAGTAATTATCCTTCAGTAACATCATTTCCAAAACCTGCAATCCACTTTCTTAAATATGTTTCTGCACTAGCCTTCTGGCTATTTTCTACTTACTTCAAGTAGAACCATAAAGTGTCACCAAATTCTTCGAATTTCAATTAACTTCTATACATAATGATGCAATACCAGCATACAAAACCTCACAGATATCACACCCACAAGTATAATACAGACATGTATCTAAAACATCTAGTCATGATTCATGCTCTTCCTTTTCAATAACATTTCTGAATATTAAGGCATTCAGTCCTTAAATATTGGCAGTTTTCATAATATAAGGCCTTTATATTATAACGTTCTGAAATTCACTGGTTGGTAATTTACAAAAAGGTCTAAAATCTGAAATCCATCTGAGCACCAATTGTCACTCTATTGCTATGATATTTCTCACTAATAAGTAAGGCAATACCATTTATTCCCCTTGCCTACAAAAGTACCTTTCATTCATCTAAATCTAAGCCTAAAATTAAAGTAAGTGGGTTGGTCCACAGATCATATATCAAGCAGTAGTGACAATTATTCAGTATTTCATTTAAGGCGCATTCAAGTTATGCTTTCAATGAATGACCAGTAAATATATTCCAAATTGCAGAATGAAATATAAATAATCAATGAACTTTTCACAAATTATGAATTTCAATAAAAATTACAAAGGGAATCTATTCAATATCAAGTGAATACAAACTTAAACTATATCAAATATTAAGTAATAAAAATCACAACACCCTTAAACAAAATGCAAACAAAAAATGCACTGAATTTTGTAAAAGAATCTGGTTCTCCCCCCCCCTCCCCCCACACACACACATAGGTGGTGGGTATGGGCACTGTCCAGTGTATTTTTTTTTTTTTTTTTTTTTTTTGTCTATTCTGTTTACACAAAGATGTATTCAGAAGCACTTAAGTTATCCAAAAGTTAGTTACTTGGCCTACTTGACCTCACCTGTTTATTGCATTGCTTGAAGTATTGGGATCTGTTTTATTTTTTTAGTATTATTATTATCAATAATATTATCATTATTGGCATCATTTCATTGTACTTAAAAAGAAACTATATAAAAAAAAATATATATATAGGGTAAACAGCTGAGATCTAGAAGGCCCCAAAAAATACTACTTCGTGACTAAGCGCCTGTGGAGTTATCTGTGTAAACAAAATGAATAAATTGAAATCACAGTGGACACTGGGATGGCATGTATAGATGTCATTCCAGTGTCAGTGGGTTAAATGCATATTCATATCAATAAATATAATCCTTATTTATATACAAAATGACACACACAAAAGCATACTTTAACCACTGCCATAAAAAAGAAAAGTAAATACCTGTAATTATGTAACAATTCCTTAAATCAAACTGTAATTATATGATCTCTAATGATATTCAGGCATATTTCTGCATATCTGTGTGACTGAATTGTGAAAGTCAGTTTTAAACCTTAAGTGGCTAAATAAGAGCTTTCATGTACACAACTATTATTTCTACTGTGATTCCTAAATATTTGACATCCAGACTGGAACATCCTACATACAAAATTCTGAAATGCAAATCCCTAACATATTCATCACTCTTTTTTGACAAAATTATTAAAATCCATACATGCAAATATTGAGGCATTGTAAAGTAGGTGTTTTAATCAATTCCAAGTCTAAGGATATCTGCATTTTCCAAGATCTCAACCTTAGTCTCTTCTGCCTTTTCTGACGTCTGCTGCTCCAGAGTATTGGCCACCATAGCACTGGCAACTGTGTCTGTGCCAATGCTAATCTTGTTTCGCCAATCAAAACCACGGAGAACAATCTGTAGCAGAAAAAAGCAGGTGGTTAATCTTGTCTACTACCGAGGATGTTATCTTCATCTAGTTACATTAATTTCTGAATGGTGAATGAAATGTGTTTTTTTACATATCTGAGAAAAAATGAACATAAAAGGGAACTATTGATATTTTAAAAAGAGATACAATAAATACGTATTGTAGCATATCTTCCTCCATTCCTTCCTTCTTTTTTTATAGAAAACTTTGAGGAAAGGATGTTAAAAATACTACTACCATCTACAGAATTTTCAACTTCCAAAACAATTTTTGTAAAAAAAAAAAAAAAAAAAAAAAAAATATATATATATATATATATATATATATATATATATATATATATATATAATATATATATATATATATATATATATAATAATAATAATAATAATAATTGAACTTTAAAATTTAATAAATAGCCTAGTTTGATTGAAATCCAAAATGCATGCCTAAACTTCAGAAATGATAGTAAAACACACACATACAATGAAACTGAAATCCTACACAAAGTTTATATAGAACATGCCTTATCCAGCAAGAGTCAAGTGAAAATCCAGAAAAGTTCAAGGGTGGCTACAACAACCAAAGCTTGTAATAGTACTGCTATACTGCACAACACTGCATGTATTGCTTACAGTAATGACACATAACTGGCGACCTTCCTGCCTCACTTCAATCTCTCCTCCATCTTATGACTAGCTAATAGTTCTAAATATATTTTTTGAGTGCATCATTTTTTTATACCTGTCATCATTAGTATCTTAAATGTATGCATCACATAAAAAATAACATTATTTAAAGTTCACTACTCATACTGTACATAATCTAAAGTATAGAAGTTTTTGAATTAATAAAGGAAAATAAACTGTTCTGAGCAAAGAGGGCCCAACATAGCCTTCCATAATATTAGCTTTTATTGTAATTAGCTAAATGGGAGTGAGTATGCTTAGGCTCTGCCTTTCTTCACCTCAAAGTTGATAAGAAGACAGGCACACAAAGTAAACTCTCATTATTCTTGAAACATCCCCAGTTCAGAGTAATAAGGCTTAGTTTTATTAAAGTGAATGGTCTTTTACTGTGCTTTCAGTTAACCCCTAGCCGCCGGGTGGCATGTACGTACATGCCATGGCTGTTGTGGACCGAAAGACGGGTGGCATCGTGCCATGCCCATTCCCGCGCCACTGGCTCGTCGGATGGATTTTTTCTCCGATAGTAGCGGCTTCATTTATATGGTAAAGATCTTAGGCAATGGCACCTATAATGAAGGCAAACCTTCAAAATTTTTATATTTTTATAAATTATAGTAAAATGAAAGCTTTTAGGTGCTAAATGTTGCTCGCAAACTACCGATCGTGCCGGGCGCAAACAGGGAAAACTGCCGATGCGCGCCAACAACCCTGTCCATACGTCCACTTGCCAAAAATTTTTACCCGTCGGCATTGGGTTAATGTGCATAAAACAATTCTAACATATATGTTACCTGAGGCATTGCCATTTAAAGCTCAAATGCTGATAAACAGGAATACATGAGTTTCCAAATAATATAGTATCAAATACCACCACAAGGAAAACAAAATATAAGACTATATGCTAAAACCCTTTAGTAGATATTTTACAAGGTACCCATTTTCCTACTACTGGCCTCATATCATAGGCATAAGAATGACAGACATTGCACTACTACTGCATTGTAATTTAGATTGAAAGAATCCTTAGTACCCCTATCCTTCCTCCAAATTCACTGAAATAGTCAATCAGTAACAGACAGTCATTACCGTCAGTTTCTGGTATGATTCCTACTAGAGATTGCTACGGTACTGAGGCAATTAGCTCAATACATATGAGTAAAGTAAAGCTAATGGGTTTAATGGTAGAAGTCTTTCATGTACAACTTAGCCTGTTATGTCAAATTACTCGTACTGAGGTGCATTGCAAAAATATATACATATGCTCTTGAGAATTATTACATCATTTCAAATAAATCAAAAAGAGAATACTTTACAACAATCATTGAAAGGGGAAAAAAGAAAAAAAGGAGAGAAAAAAAATTAATTTTCAACTGCAAAGAGCTAATGAAAGTATCATCTTCTGCAAGCGTAGTTTACCACAAACATCAAGTTAATATTCTCCCATTCCTGTGCATACTTCTTATCTAATACAATAAAAGATAATAAAATTACTAATGCAATATGATTCTTTGTATCTATAATAAAGACCCATGTCACTGATCAGGGAGTAAAAAATGTGAATCCAAGCACTGCTAGTAGTGTGAAATGTAGGGGATCTGTAAGAGACAAGACTGCTATTTTATATCTCCAAGCACAGGGTTTCCCTTTCGTACCTGCGCTATCTTCTCCATGGGACGTGATTCCTGTCTATCACAAAGGAGAAGAGATGGGCGGTAGATGGAGAGGCGTGGAAAGTTAAGCTCTGTAACCATGTTCTCTACTTCACCTGCAACAGGGATTATAATAAATAGATGAAAGCATTTATATCTTTTCATAGAGTACAATACTTTCAAGAATTTATACGGATGGTTTGTATCATGATCAAATGATATATATCCAAAGCTGCTTCTCCTGTTTCCACCCTTCCTTGAGTCTTCAAGAAAAATATCTTGAATTTACTAGGGCCATTAATACTGATGCAGTTATTATTATTATAGATACTATAATGTCAATGTTATCGTCATTACTAATAGCAATATAAGCTAAAAGATAATATATCCAAAAATCAAGGAAAAGGCGAAACAGGTGAGATAGGTACAACTAGTAATTGACTCCTTTATGACTAAATAAGTGTGGAGCCATTTATGTGAAAAGACAATTAATAAACTAAACTCACAGTGGGCATGGCACGCAATCTCTAGGTCATTGATATATTTACAAGTTGCTAACATTAGTGTTTGCTTTATATTAATATGCATTACATCCACACCAAGAAAACTTTGTACTCAAATTACATAACAGTATAAACACCTGCAAATATCTTGAAATAAAAAAAAATTACATGGAGTGTATGAACAGCACAGAAAATATAGGATGTTAATTACTTACTATCTAGTATCTTAACATTATACATATTTCTTCTTAACCCCTACAGTCCGGATAACATGAAAATTATGTCATGAAAAAAATTGGCTCCAGGAGCATGTGACATGAACATGCCATTATGGGAAAAATTAGCTGAGGGCTAGGTGGGGTGATGGTATCTTGTCATCTTTAGAATTTTGGTTGAAGGCCAGAGTGATGGGAATGACTTGCCGGAAGTGCACA